TATATATATAGGGTGTGTCTGTGTATTTAAAAACACACACACCTTATATATAGATATGGATTAATTATGTACATACACACTGGTTTTCAAATACTTCACACAAGGCAGTTAAGAAACTTGTAAAAAAATGCTGATTTTCCTGAAAAAATGGAAAGCTGTCTAAGATTTAGGAAACAAGTAGGTGCCGTTATAAAATGCTGAAGGGGATATGAAATCCCAAATTCCTGATCACTCTGGGTCTCCCAAGTTCTTAAATTTCTCAAAGATTTCAAAAACCTTGGCTTGGTAATCGTACTTCATTTATTTATTATGTATTCTGTTTAGTTAGTTAGTTTGAAGTCCTGGTATAATACACACACACAGAGAGAGAGAGAGAGAGAGAGAGACCAGTGCATAGAATAATTTTGTAACTTTTTTTTCCTTAACTATGTTTTTCCTAGAGGTTGAAAGCGGCTTTTCATTACACTGTTGCCTGCCTGTGCCAGGAAGTTGCTGAAGAGAAAAACATTCAGTTTAGCAAACAGACCATCGCAGCTATTTCTGAGATCACCTTTAGACAATGCGGTACTTTTCCTGATGTTTTCAATATTGTAGTATTTCTTTAAAAAAGGAACTGGAAATAACCTTAGAGATAACTTCAGTAAAGCTAGAGAAAATGCACAGATCCTTCAGCAAAATCAGTTGAAACTAGACAGCAATTCTACTCTAGATTTCTTTTCCAGTTGCATAGAAGGGACTTCTAATCCATACAGGATACTAGTATGTATTTGCTTTCAGATGGCTGACACAAAGAGACAAATCATGGCCTTTGTGTGATATCATCATGTACATTTGTGTGACATCATCATGTACATTTTGTTATACACTCCTCCCAGACTGGATTTGATCTTTAAAAATGTGTTTTGCAACACATAGGAGAGCAAATGTAACATTTTCAATAGTAAAATCCAAAAGGGAACAGCTGTTTTAAGGAGTTCTAGGTAGCTGCTATATTCATTCTCCTGTGCACTTTCAACTATTTGGTTAATAAGATCCAGAATTTTAGCTCATAATATTTATTTTTATGGGTATATTTCTTTTCCCTTCATTCATCCTGTTATCCTTGATAGGTTGCCTTTAATTTTTCTGGAATGTTTTATTAGATCTTTCCTTAGCTTATAAAATTGCTGTTCTATAACCATTCTTTTCATCCCCACCTAACTAACAAGCTGGAGCTGTTTACAAATAAATCTGTTTATGATAATATTGGAAGCTGGCTAGGTTACATTAAATAGCCATGATTTACCTATAACTGTTGAGATTGGCTCTACTTTTCAAGTGAAAACATTTTAAGAAACTTTTAATTTTTCCCTTTCAGAAATTTTTGCCAAGGACCTTGAAATGTTTGCCAAGTAAGTACGTGGAAAGAGGTAACACAACAATAATCGGAATGTATCTTTCCTTTGTTTTCTGTTGTGTGTCATATCCACATACACTCTTAGCCTCTTGCTTTCAACCAGTTGGCTTTTAGCAAGGATGGTCTAAAATTAATTCTGAGACTCTTATTTCACTGCATTAATTTGTATTTTATTTAATGACTATGTTAAATTACTTGCATATCTGGCGCCAAGCTCTTGAAAAAAGGGTGGACTAAGAATGGTGCTAGTTAATGAACAGAGAGCATGCTTTTGTATTATATTAGAAGAATACAGATTTTAGCAGCAAAATATTCCATAGACTTCAATGATGTAACTGGATAATGTTTGGATTTGAAGGTGTTATAATCTTCTAATCTTTTTGTCAGGTTGAGACCTGTCCTCAATTCCTCCTCTTGTATTTACCTAGCTTTTCTATTGCCCTCTTCTATCTGCCACTGGTAGAAAAATTGTACATCTGGGTTTTTTTGTCTAAAAATATAAAACTGCCACAAGATCAGATCTCTCCTTGCAGTATCTGTTTTTAGCTAGTCATAATTTCATCTCCCCCCCATTATTTCATTCCACTTACAATTTGCTTTTGTGTCCATTTTTCTGGGTTAATGAAAGTCAACTTTCACTTTGCAAATTACAGTCCTAAATCAATGTCTTTATATAATGGGTGTATTAATATATAAATCAAGCGAGACTTGAATGACGCGCAAAGAACCTGGTTTTTAATATCCAGTGGTATCTTTGTCCAGCTTTTGAGATTTTTTTCCCTAGAGTTTGCTGAGATAATTCTCTCCTTCTCTACCCCCTCATTTCCATTTATCATAATTTCATTTTAGAGTCTCAAGAACCATGAGAAAATCAGATGAAACACTGTACTAGTGCCCAGGAAATATTTCAAGGCCTTCCCTTCCCTTGGTTCAAACAATATTGCTTGTATATAGAATACAATTACAGAATTACAAAGTAATACAGTCATTTTCCTATTATCAATGAAAATTGCTGTAGTACAGAGAAGTAATTTAATAACTTTGTCCACAGTGTATCAGTTGCCAAGGGAACATTCCATTTTACATAGATAAACATCAAAACAGAAGGAACAAAAATGCCCCTGCTATTTATCATTCAAAGTTTGATAGATAAATTGTCAATTTGGTCTTGAAAAGAAGTCTAGGAAGGCTGGTAAAATCAGGAGGTCTTCTAGCCAAATCAAAATCCCAGAAGTATTTCAACATAATCTAGTTGCCATTATGTAAAAAAGCTCACTTTTTAATGTACCTAGCAGTTGTAGAAAAAGTTTAAATGATTTACACTCAAGCAACTTTTTTTGATAAGATTTTAAGATTAGACAATTTTCCTGCAACCTTCTTGTAACCTGATCACTTCCTCCTTTTCATAGGCATGGAAAACGGAGTACAATCAATGTTGAAGATGTGAAGCTTTTGGCTCGAAGGAGCAACTCATTGGTGAGATGAGATCCTTCCCCTTGGGGTCTGTTGTTTCACTTGGAAAGCCTTGTTTACTGTTATGTCTCTTTTAAATGCTGGAGGCTGCTTGAATGGTAATGATATGCTGGTTTACGGAGGCTGGCTGGCAGTATATTTGACAGAATACAGGTAGTCCTGTATTCTTACCACCACAACTGAGCCCAAAATTTATGTTGCTAAATGATGCATGTGTTAAGTGAGCTTAGCCCCACTTTACAACCTTTCTTGCCACAGTTGTTAAATGAATCACTGCAGTTAAGTTAGTAACAGTTGTTAAATGAATCTGGCTGTTGTAACTTTGAATGATCACTAAATGAACTGTTGTAAGTTGAGGACTATCTGTAGAATAGAAGTAACTGTAGGCCAATACAAGTGTCCTAAAAACAACTGATCCTCAGTATCTTTAGACAGTGGCATCTCCACAGAAGGGAGAAAACAGGCAAGATGGTGGCTGCAGCCTTGTAATTAAAGTTCTAGCTCTTTGTGACAATTACAATGCTGCAATTGTCATTTCGCCTGTTTCATACACATGCATACATAGAGTATACACCCCACAGGGGTCACTGTCCTAGGGGATATATCTATACAGGAACTTTTTGGCATCTTGGGTTTAACTGATTGAACTGCTACATTGCTTCTCAAGTTCTGGAAGTTACTAACATAGCTTTGGAGGACAAGAACAGCATTATTGGTGGTCTCAGAATATTAGGGGCTGTTTTTTGATATCAGAACGGTTGGAAATCTGGCCGAAGGCCACCATATTGTAAAAGCTAGTGGCACTTTACAGGTTTACACATACAAGAACTTAAACCGTATTACAGGCTTAAAGAGCTGTCGTCACACAATGTACTTTTCTCTGTAGTGTACTGAACACTACAAACAGTAGCTTGGAAATGTTATATTCCTGTGTCTGTTACTTTTATGATGCTGTAGCCTTAAGAAGACAAGCCTCTTTTCTCTTGACTTACTCCTGGCCTTTAGAAACAGCCATGGGATACAAGTGGCGTACTTTCTGACGTTCTGCTTTAAACTCAGATGATGATACTGATCCTGTAATGTTAATTCTTACTGAAAGGCACAATGTTCCCCTCTTTTGTAAAAGGAATTTATAAATGTAGAAGGCTTCTCAGTTAACTCATAAGCCAGGTAACTGAACTTCAGGAGTAAATTCTGCTTTCAGCCTGGAATTTCCCTCCGACTTGACTTTATTTCAAGAACAGTGACTTTCCAGTCAGCCAGAATAGGTGGCTGAAAAGTTAGCATTTCACTACCTGCCAGAGATGTGTGCCCTGCTTCTCAGTCTTCTCATTTCCACCTGCTTAGCAGTGCAAAGTCGGTGGTTTCTTGTGTTTCAGTTTTTGTTTAGTACACAGCCCTAAAATTAGTACACAGTCCTAATTTTCATAACAACCCCACTGCAAAATCAAGGACGGCGAATAGTCCTGCTTTGATGCCTTTGATGGTACCTGGTCTGGGTGGTGTTTCTGTTTGTGAGTGAATGTGAGACTGTTACCTTTTGCTGCAGATTGTCAAGTTTCCTGATGAACACAAAGGGCTCCCTGGCATTTCTCTTGCCGTGTTTAATATGCGTTGTCTATAAGCTTCCCTATCAGCTACTGAGATATGCAGCCTCTCTTTTATTTAAAATAGATCTTCAGCTTCAAATGAACAGAGCCGGTGTTTCTGCTAATTTTAAATCCCAGCAGGGCACGCTTCTCACCACCACCACGCAATATTTAGCTATTTTTGAAAGGCAGGGTGGGTGGGGGCTGAAGCCTTCAGCTGAATTCTGTTGTCCTTGAACCAACAGCTGCAGAGCAATTTAATTGAACGTAGAACCGGAAGAGCAAAATAGCTACTCCAGTGCTCCAGGATTACAATTGTACCAAAGTCACTTGTTTATATATAGTTGGTGAATTTCTTTCTTACAAAAAATTTGGGCCAGTAGAATATCAGAGAAGAAAAACATTCAGATAGTCCTTGACTTATGACCACAATCGAACCCAAAATTTACGTTACTAATCAAGAGAGGTTTAAATGAATGTCATCCCATTTTACCACTTTTCTTGCCAAAGTTGTTATGTGAATCATCGTTAAATTAGTAACCTGGTTGTTAAGTGAATCTGGCTTCCCCATTGACTTTGCTTGTCAGAAGGTCACAAAAGGGGGTCCCATGACCCCAGGACATTGCAGCTGTCAGAAATGCATGCCAGTTGCCAAGCATCCAAATTTTGATCACGTGACCATGTGGATGCTGCAACAATTGTAAACGTGAAAAATGGTGATAACTCAATTTTCAGTGCCGTTGTAACTTCAAATGGTCACTAAATGAATGGTTGTAAGGCAAGGACTACCTCTATCGGAATCTGAAGGATCTAGTAACATTTGAGCCATCGTCCTCATCTTCCTCTCCTTACTTCCAAAAGTCAGCAATCTATCTGCAAATTAATTGAAAGGTAACTCTTAGTAAAGTTGGAGGAATTTGCTTATGGAGAACAAATTAGGATACCGTTCTTTATATAGAACTGCTTTTTCAGTCACCACCCTTTGATTGGACTGTTGTATTTAAAGCTACATTTTGTTGAGAATATAGTGCTACGTTATATCCTGATAGAACTCATTTGCACTTACCCCATCATTCATTTGTACAGCAAATAAATTGAAAATGGAAGAGAATCTATAGATGCTATAAAACAGGAGTAATGTAAAAGAAAAAAAAATGTATGAGTTGTCATGGGCCAAATGGCTCCAATAAGCTGTTTTTTATACAGAAGAAAATTGAAACAAGATGCAGTCATCCTAACAACAGATTTATCAGTAAAACTGGCAAAAACAAATGAGATTTATTTTGCTTTGAAGTGTATGGATCGGGCTATATGTGGGAGTCATAAATTGAACCAAATTCCTATAAACACTCTTGGCTCACACTTAGTACGTATGGAATTTGCTAATCTCGGTAGGTTTGTTTTTCTCTTTGTCAAAAATGAATTGAGCAGCAGTTTGCTACCATATCTGAAGAGGATATAAACATATTTACAATTAGGAAAATGCCTTAAACCAACTCAGGCCAGAAGTTTAAGCATTGTTGAAATCTTCTTTTTTCTTAGCCAGCAGCATGGCTGATGATGGAGAATGTTCAGAGTTGTAGTTTCATTATGTTACACCTTGCCCGACACGTCATCTGCTAGTTAGCCCTTTTTAATTGCTGGGGATCAAATTGCGATCTTCGTATTATGAACAGTTCTCCTACCACTATCTAACAACCATTTAAAATAATCCTGCAACAAATAAAAACAAAGGTGGGAGAAAAAGTTATATAGTAATTTGTGTGCAAACATTGATCTACTGTCCTTTCTATCTCGGATGAACATTGTAAAACAAATGAAAAGTCTGGCTAAAATCAACTAGTAGATGAATGGAGGAAAACATTCCATTTTCTCTTTTTTTGTAGAAGAAAGATACTTGAATTTGATAAGTGCTAACTGTTACAACTCTGCTTGGATTGGGTGGGAGAAATGATTAAACAGCATTGACTTTTCGGTAGCCAGAGATTTAATCATTGACATATCCAGTAGATTTTTATCTTGAATCACAGCTTACTATCTATTTACTACAAGCAGTTAGTTGCTTCTTTTATTAGACTTTCTATTGGTCCAGGCCTGAGGAACCACTGGATGTCATCCTGCTTACAGATCTTCATGTTTATCTATACATTGGATGTGTTTCTGCATTGCTATGTGTTTCACTGCCTGCCTGGTGGACCTATGCCAGTATAGGTGACTGATGACATTCTCTATATTTCTAGTTGAAGTATATTACTCAGAAGAGTGATAAGCTTTCTTTGAATAACCTGGAACAAAAAGAGAAAAGGAAAAAGAAATCGGCTGCTAAGAAAGGAGGAAAAAATTCAAATGAGCTTGAAGAACCTGCGGCAATCGAGAATGAAGATTCCAACATGGCATAAAACTCACTCTTGCTGGTATCAAGATGGGGATTTCTCACGTTCGTTATGGAGCCCAGATCTTCAGTGTCATCTTGCCTAGATTACAATTCTTTTTTTTTTTAATAAGCACAGTGTATTTGGAAAATAAAAGCAATAAACATTGGGAAAAGAAAAATATATCTGAATGGAGAACTTGGATGATTGCCTGGAGTGAGTTATTTAAGATGAGAGTGGTCCACCCGAAGAATGATGATTATATAACTTATAAAGAGCCAAAGGGGCATTTAGTTCTCACTGGACAAAATATTTGGAAATCTGAAGAGCAAATCTTCAGGGCTTTATATTGTACTAATTTTCGTAGGAAGTTGGCTGGAAATTGGACAAGTAATAGCATCTGCTATAAAGCTACAGGCACTGGAGAAGAATAAGGAAAAAATACAGATCTTGAGACCTTTCCTGAGTTCACACAGGAATAGTTCCTCCCCCTTCTTGAAAATACCTTAGATATATTTTCATATTCGAATTGTCCTGATCATCCTAATATTTAGTTGAGCATATTGTTGAAAAACTCAGTTATTTCATTCTTCAGCACTGATATTCCATATCATACTAAGCCACAGTTCTTAAACTGGATTCTATTGAATAAGACAAGAAGATCAGGGTTTCACAAAATTGGTCAAACCACATTATACATTTAAAATGATATATGTGATCTCTGCCCATCACTGAATGGCATTTTCTCTTTGAACTGGACAGCTCTATATTGCAGTTAATAAAACATTTTATTAATAATAATGGAACAAAGTTAATAAACATTTCCATCCTGAATGAATTTGTTTTGTCCTCTCATAACCAGGCATCCAAGTATCCTTCACTGCATGGTATGACAGTAAATGTCATCAATCAGTTCTAAATTGTATATGGGATAGCGCTAGTTTGTTTACAGAATTTCCTGACAACCAATTTTATTGGGTGATATAGCAATCCAGTACTATGAGAAACAAAGTATTGATTTTCTGTGTGCCTCCTAATATTTTAGCAACTTGTAATATATCTTCCCCACTATAGACTGTTTCATTTGCTTCTACCTAATAACTTTGTCATTCCCATTCTATCGAAGGGAACTAGTAGTCAAATTTTGCCTTTATTTTGAACCTTTTCCCCAGGTTCATTCTAATTTTGAATACGTTTCATCTGTACTATTTTTGCCAACGTTTTGCCCTTTGGGATTTTTATTTTTGCTTGGAGATTTTTTCATTATTAATAGTAAACTTAGTTTTGCTTCTCATTATAAAACCTTCTCAAGACTTGTGGTTCTCTTGAGTTGGCTTTCTTGCTCCCCTCTGCTCAGTTTGCCGCAGTGAATCATTACTTTGCTAAATCACACTATTTTGTATTCAAAACGTCCTAGTCATTGTGGGAATAATGGTGAGGAAATGAGGTTCAGTGGGATAAAGAGGGTGGTTTTTTTTAGCAAATAAAAATGCACACACCAGCTTAAACTGATGGCAAATGTACTTTAATGGGATTGACACCCAGAGACTCTAATTAAGGGTTAAAGCGTGCAAAATGCACAATTTGGAGACTTAATTGCGCCCCAGCTTATGCGTCACTGCTAGAGTTTGGAAAGAAAGAAAGGATGGTTGGGTGAGGTGGGGGTAGCTGCGAATGGCTCCTCTAATAAAACGTAGCAGATTGGAAACAGAAAATCTCCCTCCCCAAGTCTAAAAAGCACAACATATCACTTGCAAGCAGGTGAAGTTCAGACTACATCTGAGCTACATGGCGTTGCAAGTGTTCTCCCCACTCTGCCTGTTTTTTCTGGGGCTGGCCCTGTTCCCCAGGCCCATGGCGGGTGACAGAGTGGTTGCACTTCCTGTTCCCGAAGGGCTGATGAGGCAACAGAACAAGGTAAGCCAAGGGCAGAAGAAATCCTGTTTCTTTTGCTGGTAAAATATAGCCAGAAAATTAATCCGCTATAGAGGTTGGAGCAATGGAGGTTGCAGTCCGGAGTATTTTAAAATAAGCTTGAATTGTGGAGCTTCATCCCTGGAAGCTGTCAAGATGAGACTGGACTGCCCTCTGTCAAAAATGGTGTAGGGTGGGGGGTTGGACTAGATGACCTACAAGGTCCCTTCCAACTCTGTTTAATCTGAATTGAAGTCCACTGGTTAACTTGGGAGGGGTTGTTACTGGCTAAATGATTTGCTTTTTCTTGTACCCTGAATGTGGCTAAAACGTGTTTACACTTTGATAAGATTCCTGCTTTGGAAACATTTTAATGAAAATAACTTTAATTTGGGGGGGGGGGTAATTTAAAGCTAAAGTGATACGGTTTCAAAACAAAAATTGGGAGAAAATAATACAAAGAATCAGGAAATAGCCTTCCAGAAACCAAGCTGAATAGCTCCGGGGGGCCTTACGCTTTCTCTTGAATTTCCATTGTATACCTCTCATTAAAAAGACCCACTACATCTTCACCTTCATCAAAATAATTGCTGTAGGTTGTCAGAAAGATAATTTTAAAAGCTGTTTTAAAAGTTTTTAGCTCAGGATATTTGATTTATGCTACTCTCCTCGGAAAGATTCAAAGATCACTCCATAAAATCTACCATTAAAAACCTATTTTTCTTCCAAATTCTTGTATGAGCTGCAGCACGGCAGCCTGATAAATTTAGCGGCTAATAGCTGTTGCTTTGATAGAGCACTTTTAAATGAAACGGACTAGAGTGAAATTACGTTTCAAGGAAAGCAAAAAGGAGTCCTGCCCGCTTAATTTTCTACTTCAAAATACAAGACCGCTAAACCCACTTCGTTTCTATGTATAGTGAATCAAGGCAGTCCTTTAGCGATGGGAGCACCCTTTGAAACCGTCACAGAGGCAGGTTTCCCTTCTTGAGAACATGAGAAAAGTAAGCATCAAAGCCTCATGCTTTATATCTCGCCACATTTTTAATTGCCATTTTATTTGCTAGGATTAAATTATAAGTGAATAGAATTCCTTATTGGCCAAGTGTGATTGGACACACAAGGAATTTGTCTTGGTGCAAATGCTTCCGCTTGCAGATTCAGACATTACATCAAGGACCATTTCAAACATCCTTTGCTCTTATAGGGTATATTTGAGCTTTTCCATGTCCGGTTGAAAGGATCTTCAGGAATCTTCAGGGAGGGCATGTGCATGAAACAGCAGGATTTACTTGCCAAGTCTCAAGGCAAGGCAGCTTAAATCTCCCAGCCTTAAAATTTTTAAAGCCTCGGTTTTCCTCGCTTCTTCCCACCACAATGCTTAATTCGCTTTTGCTTCGTTTGCAAGTATTTCCAGGCACCAGCAGACCTAGAGAAGAAGGAGTTACTGGTTCTCCTCTCGGGGCTGACTGAACGGGCGTTGCACATGAACACGTCTCATCTGTCAAGGCAGGAGAAAATTGGAGCTGGCCCCCGGGCTCCTCAACCCCCAACTCAGGAAAAGGCACCCTGTAAAAACTTCTTCTGGAAAACCTTCTCCTCTTGCTAACCGATTGGTTCCTGCATGGATGGACTCAAGGGGTGGATCTGATTGGTGACTTTGGGGAGTAATTCTGTAATTCAATTCCACTTTCCCTTCTGTTGGTATTAGAAGTGTGTCTACCGAAAGCTTTGTTTATACTGTTGGATCTCCTGACTCCCACGCACACACACCCCATCTCTTGTGTGGCAAAACACAACTTTGTTCATGTTTTAAAGGTACTTTGGTTGTACATAGAGTATACAAAGCAAACCATTTCCAATTTGCTCTTCTATTTTGACAATATCCATCAGCAAAACATGCTTGTAAACGTCTTCAGGCTTCTGCTTAATTTAACAAGGGGAAAAAAAATATGAATCCCATGCTTGTAAAATTCCTATCAAAGCCATTTTCCAAAGGGAAAAATCGAAATTATTCCTTCTTCTAAGGACTTCTGTGAAAGACATAATTTTACTTTAAAGTTGTACCAGCAACCTGTATAAACAGAAACAACAGGATAACTAAATACTGTAAGATCAAGGAAGGATGCATACAAAAAGAATTCAGAACTCTGCAAGCTGCCACTCCATTTTTTCCTTCTGCTTGAGTGGCTCAAAGACAATTTTATTCTGGTTATCTCAGGCTCCTGAGTTTTATGCAGGCTTAGACTATCAAATTTCAGGCACATTTTTATCCCAAAAGTTGAGAATGTAATTTTATTAAAAAAAAAAAGATACAGAAAAGAGAAGAAAGCTAATATTTTATGCTGAGGCTGTTTTTGTGGGGACTTCTGCAAAGCTACACTGTATTCATGATTTTGACTGTATTTTTAGCAAATATATTGGAAATGCCAGGGAGCCAAGTTCTAAACTTAAAACATACGAAGCTTCAAAGAGGCTTGCAAGAATTGAGACAGCGCCACTTTCAAACCCTTCCTGACTGCATTTTTGGGTAAGTGTCGCTAAAAGCAGACACTTCCCTATTTGCATTGACAGAATTGTTGCGTGCCACTTTGGCAAGTGGGCTGGCAAAGGAACAAAGGCAGAAGCCACATTTGGGCATGTATGCCGATTCAACATTGCAGCATCTGAAATGCTGTTGCAAGAAAACCGTAGGGGGCAGGGTGGATAACACCATTATGTCCATTGTCATGATTGAAGGTTTTCTGTGCTCTCGATATGTACAGCATGACCATCCTCTGAATAGAAGAGAAACAAACACATTGTAAGACACCTTTAAGAGTTCCACAAAGAGGCTTATGAGCAAGCTAAGAATGCTGTGTGCCAGCTCGTCTTTCCTGTTTTTTTTTTTTTGCCAGTGCCGAGTTGTTTCCCCATCCAATTGTTCCGTGCTGAAATAAAATATTACTACATGTACCTAACCTTTGTGTGCTGCCTTCAACTGACAGTGAAATATCTCATGTGGTTTTGGATGTATTCTTTATTTAGTGCTTCAATAGACAAACCTGGTTCAGGTAGGGACAAGTATGTTTGGCCTTAACCTTGGATCACTATGAGTGTGTGTGTGTGTTTCAGTTTTATTTTACAAATTCCTGCTACTTTTACACATTCCTGCAAAAGGCTGTCCTACTTGAACACGTGTCCCAAAGCAAGCCTATGTAATAGCGATATTTAATTGCTCAATCAGCAGTCAAAATGCTAGCCAATAATACAA